CGCCGATCCTACCTTAACCAGATCACCATCCCAGCTCACAGAGCAGTGCTTGCTCTGATGTGCAATCCCATTTCTTCCTCAAGCAACCATTTTAGATGCGAACAAACGGTGCCTTTGTTGTTCTACATGGAAAGCAGGGCCGGGGTGACGCCCGTGTTCTTTTTCCCCCAGGGAATGCTGATGAGGAGTGAGGGTTCGTGTCTGTTCAATTTGCTGCGTTTAGTTAAGAGGTGTCAGTTGGAGTGACGTGGCGGCACAGACACGGGCCGGGGCGTTGCGAAAGAACGAAGCCATGTGGAATCAGGCTTCCATAACAGGAAATGAGTCACTCGATCATGGGCAGAGTCTGTGACATGGGCCTGCCATCGTTACTCTCTCCACTGTCTTGGTGTGCTCACCCAAACCATATTAGCTTGGCAAGTGCCAATCATTCAATCGGGCCAAATGAAGCGCGCTCACCGGGCGCCCGTAGCCTTTAATTATTAGAATGATACACAATGCAGTATCAATGATAAGTGCCCACCCGTGCTGCTGAACCACACGGATATTATGTAAATAGAGGGAGATCAAACCGGCTGAAGAAATTTCCGTTTTATGTGACGAAAGGGGAGCGTGGCCCTTTGCCACGACGCTGTCGCTACACCGTGTTATCTCAGTCACTCTAGGCGCTGTTATTGTAATTGTATTTCATGTTATTTTATCAATGAAAGAGTAACAATTTCATAGCCGCTACACGGTGACAGTGACCTGCAACGAATAGCAAATGTGGAAATAGTTCATTTTTAAGCCTGGAATTACACCGTAAGCCCATCAAAAGCATTACAGTAACAATGTTTTTAAGGATTATTTCATTGTATGTTTCATTAAGGTCCACTGTTTCTTTACACTGCTGCTCTCCAATTCTTCCGCAACAATTTGCTTTTGTGAAAAATTTAAATAAAAGGGGGAAATGGAATGCACACTGTGGCACATAGAAATAGATAGAACAGTAAGCATAAGGTGCAATTAAAACGCAGAGCAACAGAGACAACACAAGTCCATGATCATAATCTATCAATAACAAAAGATGTGTTAAACAAACCGATCTGCTGTCTGTTCCTATTAAGAAAAGAGTTAATTTGTACATATCAAAAAGGTAATAAAAAATAGTGATGCTCTGCTGAAGTCACCATTAAACAACACGCGGTTTCATCAAAGCGTTGCGATTGGCCACGTTTGGAATCAAACGCTACATTCCCTGCTTTCAACTGCTGCTTTGCGCATAATCGGTTAGGTGTAAAAACATGTTTCACTCGATAAACGGAGTAACCGTTAAAATCATTATTTATTTAGCTGCTCTAACATGACGACAGGACTTCCCCCTTATGTGGAGCTTTCCGTGATTTTGAGGAGCCGATTCTTCGACGTGATTCTGCAATTAAAAATCACACCTGGGAACGAACGCCTGTCAACCTGCATGATGAGGCAACGTTTAAAGAGGAAAAAGTACTTCCTATCAGTTGATGTGCATTAAGTCTGTTATTCCCCTTATCCGGCACTTCTTATCAAGCTCAGTGGCGCTGCCAAAACAGTCACTTTGTTTCGCAGGTCGGTTGCACAGATTTTTCACACTCCCTGCAATATCTTAGTATCAGTGACAACGACAATGCTATCAGGGAGATCTCGATAATCTCAAGTCTTTTGTGGCTCCTGTGAAAAGGCCCCAACATCACATTGAGGCTGTACAATAGGCGGCATGCCGTGTGCTGCCTCTGGATGAGACATGGATAATCGTCTCTTTCTCTTTGTTTGCGTGCCCTTTCGCCCAAGGGCCGGAGCTGCTGCAGTGTGTGCTGCACGGCACCAGCCAATCGCAAAACCTAAAGGACGGCGGGCGACTGTCGCCGTGCCATCCTGGGTGGGATTATTGGAGGTTGTTTGAAGCGGAGTGAACAGCAGCATTCGAGGAAGCTCATTCTATCTGGTCCACCCAAAAGAGGAATGCATTCTCATTCTTTGGCAACTGTATCGATCTGCCTGAAGCAACGTGCGTCTCGTATCCCTTTACTCTGTTGGCGCCGCTTTAATCCAGGCTCTCCGGGTTGTGGGGGAGGGGGCTGACGCAAAGTCAAACACGCCTCTTGGAACAAAATTACTTTTTCTTTGAATATGGATGAAATATGAATAGATCAAAACCTGTAATCTTCTGACTTGACCGCCAGTGGATTAGAATGAATTAAACATTGCAATTCAGAGGGCTTTGTGACAGGTAAATTACTGAATCTTAACCTTCATCTTTTAGGGTCCAGCTGCACTCAGGGAAAATTCTTGCTGAGATTACACGACATTTACAGTGACTCCTCAAAAAACATCAAACGTTACGAGAGGGAAAGGGAGAATTCAAATGTTAAGTGTAATAGAAGAGTGAGCAGCAGTGGCCTAGACAATGCAGAGGTCCCCATCTCAAAACCCAGACTGCCTGCTACTATTTTTGGGGAAGCAGCCACAAGTCCAAATGCCAATACAAAGCGTTTCCCTATAA